GAGGGGATGTCCAATTGTCTACAGATGGGCTTTGGGTCTCCATTCCATGCCCCCTACCCCCCTTCACGTTGGGTATGGTTTTGTTCTGGGTAAACTCCATTTTCATAATAATAAAAATGCAATTATAAACCATCACTGCCAGAAGGATGAACCGTAAAAAGAATGACAATGCTTCCTGTTGTCAAGGACGCAGGACCACAGAAACTTGCATAGGCTGCTGGTGAGAGGATGCCATTTTGTATCCACTGTGGAAAACTGACAGCATCTCCGAAACATGCAGATACCTTTACTCTAACCCATCACTCAGCAATTGCCACAGCAACAGTATTCATAATAGCCCCCATGAAAATAACAATGGAACAAATAAATTGTGGTATATTCACAACATGGAATATTAGACAGCAAGGAAAATAAGTGAACCGCACTGACATCCAAGACATAAGCTGGAGGAAAAGAAGCAAGACACGAAAGAAAATGTACTATTTCATTTTATAAGGTTGAAAACAGCCTCGTACAACATATGGTATTAGAAGCCAGGCTACTGGTTACCTTTGGGAAATATCTTAGTTGTCTGGTGCTGTTTTAACAGAAATACCCCTAGGGGATAACTTTAGTTATAACTTTGGTTATCTTTAACAAGCAGTAAGTAATTTTCTCACAATCGAGGAGGCCAGAAGTCCACACTTTTCCAGAGGAAAGTTGTCTCTCAGGGATGGCCTTGTCCCTGTGAACCTGTGCTCCTAGGTCATTTCCATGTGGTTTGGCATCTCTCTCCCTCCATCTCTGTCCTGCTCGCTTGTGTGAACGCATTGATACCTCAAAGATATACTGTATATCATTCATACTGCATTAATAAAGAAAGACAATGCAAATCCAAATGAGATTACAAGCATGGGCATAGAGGGTAAAATTTAAAATATATATTTTTGAGGAACACATTTTAACCCATAACATTTCACCCCTTGGCCCTGCCAAATTCATGTCCTTGCTACATGCAAACCACATGCACCCCATCACATCATCCCCAAAGTCTTAAATCTATTCTAAGTCCAAAGCCCTCTGGCTTTTGGGTGGAGGTCCCTCAGCCCTGGGCTTCAGCTCTCCTCCTAGTCCCTCTGGGATGGCAACTTTGTTGTCTTTGCCTTTGGTGGGCCCATTTTCTCAGTTTATCTGAGTGGGGGTCCACTCCTACGACTATGGCATGCCACAATCTTCTGCTTCTTGAGCGTGGCAGTATTGTCCCCTCAGCTCTGGACGGTGGCCCCATGTGTGGCCCACCATTACCGAGACTCTACATGCTGGAACCATGGCCCTCCTGTTGGAGATCCAGGATACCACGGCCCCGCCCTTCGAAGCTGAGAAGACCCTGCTTCCTACGCGCTCGCTCGCTCCTTCCAACAGTTCGGTTGATCTCCAAGCTGGCCCTTTACTTTTCTTGGAGGACAAAAGATACAGTTCCTTTGACCTGTCTCCTGCCGGCAGAACTGCCAGAGACTGAGCGTGCTTTTCCAGCTTCGGCAGCTGGACTTTCTGCTGTGGTTAGTCGGGTTTTACAGGCTTATTTTACACCATTTACAGGCATATTCTCTTGAATAAAAGATTGTGTGGTCATGTCCTTGGAGAATATTCTAGGAGACATGCCCTTAGTTTATAGAACAGATTTCCCCAGATCTCTAAATTCTGTTCTTACTTTGCGCAGTTCATTCATAATCCCTCTCTTTCCTCTCACGCTTTGCTATAAGTGGCATGGAGAAACCATGTCGTCCCTTTAAAGATCTTGCTTAGTAATCTCATGATCAGATATTTAAGTTCGTCACTTCCAACTTCTACCTATCACCAAATAGCTGAACATAATCTGAATTCTTTGCCACTGAATCAAAAACCACTCCCCTTTCTGCATTGGCCCATCAGAGCGTCATTTTCTTTCCAAGCCTCTCCAGAAGAGTGTCTTACAGCCACACATCTGGCAACACTCTGTTGCTGGTGCCATCGTAGTCTCTAAAATGATCATTTTTCTAAGACATTCTCCCTGCCTTCTGAGCCCTCATCACAATTGCCTGCGATGTCCACCATTCTATCAACTGCCTCTCCAAGACAATTTAGACTTTGACCATGAACCCACCGCGGTGCAGGCAACTGTGACTCCTAGGACCCTGTTGGCACAGAGCAGAACTGCTCCTTAGGGTTTCTGAGGTTGTACATGTTCATGGGACCAAACAGTCTTATTAGCTCCTGGAGGAGTGATTGGTGGGTTTGAACTGCCAACCTTGTGGTTAGCAGTTTAACACTTAAATCATGGGACTAATTTATCTAGCCTCTACCCAATTCCCAAACCATTTCCACCTATTAGGTATCTTTTAGGTACCTATTAGCGTAGCAGCCTACTCTTCCCGTCCTGAATTGTGTCTTAGTTATTTAGTGCTGCTATGTCAGAAATAACACAAACGGGTGATGTTAACAAACAGAACTTTATTTCCTATGGCTTAGAAGGCTAGATGCCTGAATCCAAAAGCTGGCTCTCCCAGAAGGCCTCCGCTCTCTGTGGGCTCTGGAGGAGAGTCTCTGTGAACTTCTGCTCCCAGGCAATCTTCACGCAGTGTCATAGCTCTCTCCCCCCATTTCTGCCCTGCTCACTGGTTTAATAAATGTTATATCTCAAGAGATTGACTCAAGACACATTGTCTATTAATCCTGCCTTCTTAACATATCAAAGACCACCCACTCCCTAATGGGATTATAACCACACACACACAGAGGTTAGGATATAAAACACACACACACACAATTCAAACCATAACGGAGAGTAAGGAGAGGGTAGTCATTGAAAAGAGGTTTGGGTGATGCATTGGCTAATGTACTTGGATGCTAACTAAGAGGTTTGTGGTTTGAGTCTACCCAGAGGCCCCTCAGAAGAAAGACCTGGCGTTCTGCTTCTGAAACATCAACCACTGACAACCCTATTAAGCAGAGTTACACTCTGTCACACATGGAGTCAGCATGAGCGGGAATCAACTTGACGGTAACTGATTTATGGTGCATGGGCTGTGTCTGAGGATGTGGGTTATATACACTTATCAACCCAAATGGTTGTTCCACAACAGTGTGTACATTGTGATAAATACAGAGCTGTATTCATAAAATTTGTTCACTTTTCTGTTTGCATGTATGCCATATTTTGGTAAAAAGAATTAGACAAGAGAAAGGCAGAAGCTCAGGATACCAAAGCGAGCTGCTTCTCAGCTTTGCCTTTGTGGCCAGGTTAATCTGGGGATTCAGTTTGGTCAGTTGTTGCCCTCTGGTCTCTTCTGACATCATTTCCTTTCTCATAGCAGTTACCCTGGAATTGCCACACTGAGGAATGCCACTTTGCAGAATTCCCAATGCTGGGCTGTTACGAATTCTCCTTTGGATGGAATCTTTTGGGGGGACATGCACACAGTTTTTTCTGACGTGGTCCTCATGATGCCTTTGGATCATACTTCGTGGTTATCGCACCCATTCCCGTAGGGCTTCTCCAAGAAACTGTGAGCATTGTTTCCTGTTTCTAATTTCTATACATCAAACAGAGGCTTCCTATTTACTTTGCACATTTTTTTGGTGGGCTGGGGTTGTTTACAATTGTTGCAAGAGAAGTGCTTTACATTTTCAACTCAAAGTCCAAAACAAATACCTTTTTTAACCATCCCAGCTTTACCAGACTCACTGAGCTGTGTGCAGTTGGGAACTGTTTTTCATCACCCGGATGACCTGTGCCTGCCATTTGAACTACGTGGTCCTAGGCTGCTACCTCAGAAGTGGTGCTTCTGCTGGATGCCCTGGAACCGCCACTGACATCAACGTCCTCATCTGTGCTAAAGGTACCAAGCATCTTCTCCCTTTATGGTTGATGTACGATTTAAATGAAGTGATACCTGTGAAATGCTTGACATAGATAAGTTACCCCTGAAGTGGGCGTTATTGTAAACTGTCTGGAGTGGGAAGACGGGCTTATCTGCACTCAGATCTCAAAGACTAACCAGAGTGGATATGCTGCCTGGAAAGGGAGCCCAGTCCGGGGTCCTCCTGGTTGCCACATTGGAAAAGTAACTATTTCCCTAAGACCTCGGTTATCCCCTCCTCTTCGCCCCTCCCCCCAACCCCTCCCCAGAGGCCAGTTTGGTCAGCGACACATTCATTTTTTAAAAGGAGGGGGCAGATAAAACAGTTTTGATTTCTTTGAAACCCAGTGAATTATATGGCTGACAGGGACTCGAGAGTGGAAAGAGTGCTCTGAATCTTAGAGAATCTTGTGGAACACTTTAACAAATATATAAGAATCATATATAATTGGCACACGCTTTGTTTGAATGCAAACACTGCTGTTAAAGTGGTGCTTAAAAACAGTTTGTTGGCCTTCCCTCCATACAGGAGAAACATTTCTCTCATTTACATTACTCCCTTGCTTAGCAAACTCTTATTTATCCTATAACGCAAGCGTAATCTGCCCAATATGTCCAAATGCCCACAGATTCTGACTTCGGGGAGTCAGAACGAATGGGATTTCCAGCGTTTGCTTACGGAGGACGAGCTCCAAACATGGGGAAACGACCCACTCCCAGAGTTTCAAGACCCTTGAAGAAAATGGCCCCTTCCTCCCTGCTTTGCTGGCTTCTCTCCTTGCTTCCTATGTCTTGGTTCTGACCTTCGGAGACAACGTAGGGCAAGGAAAAAGAAATAAAAGACTCAGACGTGCATTCGTAGGACATCTGAATAGGTATTTATTGAGAAGCTACAGTTTCCCACACTTTCATGACTGTAGGCTTTCAGATAAGGCCAAAGCAGAGGGACCCACGACTTTACACAGGAGGAACTGGCTCTGCAGAGGGCTCCAGGGCTGTGCGGCGACGGATCAAAATGCAATGGACACAACAGATATAAAAAACATGGTGGAACAAAATAATTCAAATTATGGTTACAGTCTACTGAAGAAATATCCACATCTCATTATAAACACATTTATATAGTCTAGGGCTGTCATTTAAATAGTCAGGGTCTGTTTGCTTGTTTTTTACATACACAGTTTTTGAAACACAGAAAGCAAAATGAGACATTCGGTTGGATACGCTGAAACAGAAGGCAGTTGCACTGAACTGTGCTTCATGGTACATCACGAGAGCTCGTCCTGGCCGTGGCTTTAGAGAGATCAATCCCTTGGTACGTAACCATCCTGGGTTTGTTTGTTTGTTTGGGGTGGGGGGGCGGCTAACTAGATGGATAAACGACAGGATGCGCTACTGAGGATATAAGGGGTTCATCTGTTTCATTTTTGGGAACAGAAATAACCCTAAGTTGGCTGTTGGAGCCTTGCCTTTTGTTTTTCGAAAAACAAAGCAGATCTAGACTTCTCAATTAATTGCTTATGTACTCATTTAAATAAGTGGCATCCACATACGTGAAACAAAGAAATGAAAGCACTCCTTGTACTCGCCCTCACATCCTTTGACTGTCAATGTATACACAGTACATTAATGAAGCATCATTGAACTTCGCTTAGAACAGGGACACGCCTAGCGGTTGAACTATGTATTCTCCATGAACAGTATTTAAAGAATGGTGCTCCATATTGCTTGTAAACATAGAGACATGGAATCAGGAAATCAGTGGATTCGAAGGTCGTTTGCTAATCTTAGTACCACAGAGCTAAAATGGCAATTGTATTGGTAAACACCTCATGGGCATGGGAGTTGACAGAAATTCCCTAATGGGGTTGACTAACAGACTAAGGACATGCATTGGTTACAGGGCTCCATCCCAGTGGGCTTTGGGGTCCAATGACCTAATCATCTTCTTCATCTTCCTCGTCACTGTCCTTCATGCTGATCCCCTGCAGGCCCCCGCCCTCGCTGACAGAGGCTGTGGCTTCCTCCACAGTAAGCCGGTTCCGGATGGTCTCATAGGTCTTGCTGTTCAAGGTCGAGTCCAGGACCCCTTGCAATCGGAAATCTCTATAGGTTTTCTAAGGAGGGAAAAGATGCATTGATAAGGGAGATGGAATCTCTCCCCTGGACAGGGGAGGATCCAAAGCAAGTAGGGGTGGCAGAGCAACCAGCCTGTAGCTAAGGGCCACCCTTGATGCACGGTCAAGTACAAAGCCACAAAGCTCACATTTCCCTTGTACTGAAAACCGGGACTCATTGAAAGACAGAAAACGAGACATTGTGACAGGATAAACTGTATTAGAGGAGACAAAGCAAAGAACATAAGCTTGTGTTTATTCAGTTCCATAAAGGGAAATGTTCCATAATTGTTTGGGTTCCTTTTTTCTGGTCTGGTTCTTTTTCTTAGGTTATTATCATATAATATGATAGACAGTGTGAGGGACTGAAACATATCAATAATGGATTAAGTGGTTATGGTATTTTGTGATTTCTGTTGCAGTCTGGTCTTCAGTATTTTCTGAGGCTTTTAATTGCACGAGCCATATCTCTCTGTCTGTCACAGACAGACATATGTATGCTGGTATATGAAACCTATTATGGGGAAGCGGGAGCGCTAATGCCTCATCAATATGTCGCAGGCATGTGACTCACTTCCCTTCTCCTTAGGAAAGAGCTGTGTCTGTTCCGTTCACAACTTCATGGTCTCGGGGAGGAAAAAAATTGGCTCTTTTTCAAGAACAATGGTTTGGTATTGCTATGCCGCAAGTTCTTTCTTTGTTCCTTCAGGCGATTTCTCTCGGATTTCCTGAGGGCTCCTAGGGACTGTTTTTCTAGAAATCCCTTAGCGCTAATTGAACATGACCAGAAGCATCTGGCTGTTGTCTACTTCATAAAAAAAATTTTTAAAAAGAAAGAAAAGAAATTTTAAAGGTCTCTCCCTAACGACAACTTTTCTCATCACACTGCATATCATTTTGGCTTCTGATTCTGCTGTTGGTTGTTCCTATTGATCGGAGACGCTTGCTAAAGATGCAAGAGATGGGGATGCTAACGTACGGCAATGCCGGTCCTAGGACACTTTCTCTCTTTGAGAGTGGATTGAATGCGGTCGGTCACCTCCGTGGCAGCCCCCGTGATTACTGCCGAGTGAAGCCCGAGTGGCGCACTAGGCTCAGGGGAGTCCAGACATGAAATCACGGGCAGACTAACCACAGCCCTGTTTTCCAGTGCATGCCCGGCCCTGACTGGTGGTTAGCATGCCTTTTATTTATTTATTTATTTATTTATTTTAATTCTTCAAAGTAATCTGGTCTAGACAACAAACTATAAGGGCCTCTTAGTTACAGGTCAAACTTGGCCGCTCTCCTTGGGAGAGGAAACTAGGTAGTGGCTGAGTTGTGCCTTAACCAGGAGGGGAAAGGTCAGGCGTGGTGCGGACCAGAGGGCCAGGTGGTTCATTCGCTTTTGCTTTTTTATTTTTTTTCACTCTTCAATCGTTCTGGTGCCACTTAAAACAACACAGTTGTTGCTTTAACATGGTGCTATTGTGGGGGATGGCAGACATTCGGGTAGCCTCCTCCTGATTCCGATTTCAGAGCTGTGTGTGCCCTGACTAGATACTAAATGCCTTTACGAACAGTGGCCCCAACTACTCATCTTTTCAATCCTCCAGATTTTAAAACAAATCAATAGGGGCTCAACTAATAGCAAATGTTTGGGTGAATAATTAAATGCTTGCTGAATACTGAATGACTGAATGAACGAATGAATGAATGAATGAATGAATGAATAAACAAAGTGGCTGCCTACATAGGAAAGAAAGCCAATTATTCTTGGAAGTTCGCCCTAGTGAAGGAGACCTCTGGGTGATATGCTTGGCAAATAGGTGGTGATTTCTGTTTTCTGTGTGTTTTGGCACCAGCTCAGCTGTGCCCATTCTTGGCAGCAGTGGAGGGGTCCCTCTGGCCAGGACATTTCAGTGTCCTTTCCTTGGGGGTCATGCCTGGGCTTTTTGGCAGAAGGATCAAACGAAACCTGCTCTCCAACTTATACATAACAATTTCTGCAATAAAAGAGAGCAAATAGCAACATTCCTAATACCGATCTGAAAATTTCGGTAAGGATGTATTTTGAAAATATTAAAATATCTCTTCTTGTCATGTCCACCCCACAGGGATTTCATGTCCCGGAGGTGGAATTCGAAGGGTCAGGTCAGCGAGCCTGTCTTAAGGCACACATGAAAATTAGGCTGGACCCATCCATAGTCCAAATGCACATGTGTTTTTACAGAGCCGCAGTACACTGCTGTTTATAACCTTCCCTGGGCTCACGCTTTGTAAGATCAAATGCAGATGATAATAATTCTCCTTAATTACACACAACCGAACAGTAATTGGTTTTAAGTCAGCACTGGGGTAGAGGAGCACCTTTAGTGAAACGGTGCTAATCCGAAAGAGACTAAGGAGGGGGTTGTGGGGTGGGGGTGGGGGCGAGGAGAGGAGGGAGACTTTTGGCAAAATGTTAAACAGAAATTCAGCTAGGCTGTATTGTTGAAATATTTTAAAGGAGACTTTGTGCAAGCCCATGTTTTAAAAACCTTCTATGGCGAAGCATCAAATGGAAACTGAAATGATCAAAAATGTATTTACCCCCTTCTGTGATCTTATTATTTCATGTAAACCACTGAGATTTCACGCTGAAATAATTATCATTAGTCCAAGGCGCACACACATGAAGGGGGGGCGGGGGGAGCTCCTTTCAGGGCATGTTATCTCACCTTGTGATCCTTTCCATTTGATTGTATACACGCATTGTAAGAGAGACTACTTCAATTAACTATGAGAACAATATTGATTTGCATTCTGATCATTATCACAGGACATATTTAGAAATCACTAGAGGTAAATATTTCTATTAAATTAATTGTGGCAAAAATTTATTTAATTAAACCATAAATGAAATTGGTAATTGATGTGATTAACACAGTGATACCAAATGTCAGCTTAGGAAAGTCGAATGCCCGCAGTACGCTAGCCACGGTGGTGTTTTTGCATGGCCCATGCGAACAGTATCCTTCTAGCCTAGCTTCGCCTTAACAAACTTTCCTTTGGTGTTTGTGTAAGAAATTCACCATGCATCTTAAAGTGGTTTCATAACTACATTTGGATGCGATTTTTTTTTGAGTGATCATCTTTGTTTATCCATACACTGACATTTCTCTGTGTTAAGGAAGTTCTGTAGCCAGTTAATGGAACACATTTTAATCAGCTATTTGCAAAGAAGAAGAAGGATTTTTTTTCTTTTACCTTTACCATCCTAATTAGAGTTTTCAACTGATAAATGTGAAGCTGCAAGTCCATCCGGTCGGTCAACCAGGTGCAGATCACGTTCACGGAGCTGTTGTACCATTGCTGCAAAGAGAGATGACAGTTCTCCAGCCAACACACTAGGGAGGGTTCATCGTGCAAAGAGGGAATGGGCACCTCGCTCTGATATAAGAGGAATCAAAAACAGTTAGAGGCTTGGCAAGCAGAGAGAGCAGGCACACTCACTCACACCAGCTCACAAGCTCCCAGATCAGCCTACGAGAGGTCAGTGTGGACTCTGATGAGAACTCTTCCACCACAAGCACCTTGTAGAGTCCATTCATAAAGACCACTTTTTGGCTTTTGGGATTCCCCGTGGGATGGGTCCAGGGCACTCTGTGAAGATGTCCTAACACCACTGTCTCTGGTGCCCAGAGAGATGGAGGCTTCCTTACAGAACCAACCGAGATCACTTGCCACTTACTTACCTGTTGAAAACCCCAGACCCCCTCTGCTAAGGCCAGCTCCGGGACTTTAGGGTGAAGTTTCCCTTCATTTACACTACTGGGACACTGGTGACACAGACGGCTTCTCCTGAAGGACCAAACTGTACTCTGGGCAGCTTATGTGCCCTTACTCTGGCTCTGCAATCTGTCTTAATCTTAACACCAAAAAATGATGGAAGATGAGAGAGAGAGAGAGAGAGAAAAAAAAATCTACAAATGAGCTCATTTCAAGCTGTTGAAATCATACTTCCCCTGAAGGGGGTTAAATTTTGCTTCTTGTCTGTGAAAAATGCTTGAAGCTGTGTCACGTTAGACTGCCACCCCTGTGGTGCAGGAAGTCTCTAGTGCGGTATAATTTTGCAGTACTGCTCATAAATTCATAAATCTCACTCGGAGACATATGAACGGTGTTATAAAGTGTCAGTGTGACAAAGAAATCTAATCTTTTAAACTTCACCAGGTTTCATTACGCTCTATTGCTTATACCAAACAATTTACAAATAAAATGAAAAGGTGTGGACGGACCTATATATTTATTTATAGAGCTTCTATATGCTCTGTACACAGAAAAGATTTAAAAGAAAGAGAGCGAGAATTTAGATGATGCATGTTCTCATGCTAACCAATACGTGCACACACACGCATGCACGCACCCACACATCACACACCAGTTGAGGTTTAAAAAGCATAAATAAAAACATGTTTCTGAGGGTAACTCCACCCTCTCTCACCTAAAGATCATCCAAACTCAGTTTATGCCTAACACTCACAGTTTCTCTGAAGCCTTGTTTCTGACTTAATTTCTTTCTTTATTCTGGAAAAAAAATTAATTTGGGATTTTACTTGCAAGGTATAACTGCCAAGTTTCACCTTGCAAGAAATGACACAGTTTCAGCCATGGTGTTCAGAAACCCTCTTTGCAATCGTTCGTTTCTAGGCTCCTTGCTCGGCACCATGAGCCAATGGAGGCTCTCTTTGGAGGCCAGCCGCAGACACCACATCCCTCCCCGCCATGCAGCTCTGCAGCCTCACTCTTGGCCAACGTCTGCTCTTTTAAAGATCATGGAGTCGAAACCGTCAGTTTCAGGAACCTTCTGTGCCTCCCTAGGAGCAGGTGGAGGGGTGTGGAGGGGGCAGGAGGAGATTTCTTTTCCATGAGAGATGCAGTTCATTCTGTGGAGAGGGCGCATCCCCAGGTCAAGTTGCTTCCGGCGTGGACAGGTTTTCCCCTCTAGGGGTGAGAATCTTTTCCTGGAGCTTTTTTTTTTCTTTTTTCTTGGTAGTGGCCTTTGGGGGTTGTTCTTGGCACCGGCTGCCTTGGGCTTCTGGAGCTTTCACGCTGCCATTAATCTCAGTGTGTGAAGAAGCAGTCTGGGGACAGAAGACCACTGGGCACCGGCGTTTCTAGCTGTCCTACCTCAGTCTCAGCTTTGGGGCTCTCTTTGTTCACCTCAGGCCTCCTGTTCCATGTTCCCTGCCTGTGTCTAACATACGGTGGAGCGTGAATAGCAATCCAGGGCTCAGATCATCTGTTTTGAGGCTCATGGGCAAGGCTGTCTCCACCCCCGACCTGCCAAGGTTGGAAGATGACTTTTAGGGAGCCCCAGTGACCTCCTGACCACCCCACCTCACCCCCAGAGCTTCAGGATGGGTGAACTCTCAGGGACACAAAGGAGGAATGTGGCACTCTGGCGTCTAGGCAGAGGTGGCATTTTGCTTTGGCTGTGACAACAGGCAAACCGGCGTTGGCGGAGATCCCTGCCAGCGAGCCTTGTGCAACATGCCTTTTTCTCTTCGCTGAGAGACATGCCACTTTTTTGTAGGGGAGGGGGGAACGTGGGGAATGCCACAAAGCCCCCTTGCATTTGATGTAAGCTGTTCTCATCCTTGTAAGTGGCATTTGGACAGTAAGATAATAAGAGTAATAAATAAAAAGGCAGAATGCTATCGACACTCCCGCTCTGTTGCCGAGAGGCTGGGAGGTAGGAAGTGCATACGGCAGCAGATCAGTGGAGCACGCGCACAGATTCCCACCCCACGAGAGCAAGAAAGCCCTGGAACATCCATGCTTTCCCTCCTGGATCTCACATCTAGCACAAGAAGTGTAAAAAATGTATGATGCCCCATTGGCTACCCATCCAAAGAGGCAAAAAGGAGGCAGTCACTCCTTTCCAAACCTTATGCTCAGTAGATGAAATTGGAAGCACTTTTGGATGCAGCACCGCGCTAACTTGGTTTTCTAGAAAGGCGCTTGAAGGCACTTGGATGTTGGAGAAAGTAGGAGGCACTGCCTTCTAGAACTTTAAAATGTCAGAGGTAAAAGGGATCTTCCCAAATCTCCTTTGTCCAGGAGCAACCAAGGACTCCGAGAGGTGACATGACTCCCCCAAGGTCACACAGCCAGTGAACCCAGAAATGGCTGGGCGCTAGGTTAGCCTCTGAATGAACATTTTGCTGGTCCTGGGAGTGGATCTTCTCCCCACTGTTCAGCGCTATCCCAGAGATGAGAGGGAGAAAGGGGCCACGGTGGGAGTGTTGACACCTTAGACACCAGCAGTGAGCACAAACCCAGGCTTCCCCCACTCCCAGACAGCCAGGTGCGAACGCTCCATGGACAGACACAGCCCTGGGCATCTGGGCTGTCCCTGCTCTTCCTCCCGGGGCTCGGGCTGCCGATGAATCAGGTCTGCTTTATTTGAGATCGATGCTAATGCAGCAGATTTGTTATGACTCTTCAAAAGAGGAAATTAATAAAACATTTTTAGAGTTCCCATTTTGTTTTCTCTTTGGTTCCGATATGCCTTTTCCAGAGCTATCCTAACACCTGGGCACTACCATGTTGGTAAAATGCATTCTAAACCCATAGAATTAAAATCATGGGCTGACCACACGCACTAAGGATTTAAATATAACTGTGACTTCTTTGTTGCCTTCCCCAGAATTCAAATATATTAATTTAAGCATTACAGAACTGGGTTACTTTAATCCTAAAAAAAAGAAACGAAAGCATCAGAGAGAGAGACTCCCCGGTACTCTGGATACCTTTACAATGTGCTCTCTGGGGCGAAATGCATAAGAATTTCGCGCTTGGACCCCCACACGCACCCATCACCTCCATGACCTGCCTAATCATAGACCCCTGGAAGGTGTTCGCTTCTCTCTCCACGGCAGCGGTGGCAATCAGCTCGGAAGGTTCTACAAAAAGAATGCAGACACCTAACGAGAACTTGCTCAAACCCTGTGGGGGATAAAAGGCAAGGCCAGCCTGTGTCAGCGCCTTGCCTTTTGCCTAGGACTGGACGCTCCCCCAGGGCAAGCACAACCTCCTCTCAGGTTTACCGCAGTACCTGCTTCACCAGAGCCCGGAGCTTTACAAGACCAGTTACGGGAAGTGCCCTGCGGAGGTCCTGTCTCCGAGCAAGTGGTCCGGAAAATGTAGCCACTGTTCCTACTGCTACTCGAATACTGAACAGGTGTGCTTCCAGCACACAACACAAAGGCATCCCCTCGATCCTTCTGGAATAGAAGCTTACTTTACTCCTACGCAGTTGATAGACTCACATTCTGCCCTCTAAACAAATGGGCTCCCTGGGAAAATCCGGATCCATCACACCTCTCCTGGGTAACCTGGGGGGGGCGGGGGCACTACAACAGACAGGATGAGGATGAGGTGGATGAGTGAGGGTTATACGACGGAAACAGCAGACTTGGGGATTTTGTCTAGCCTGGCTTTTTGGTGGCACTGTTTTTCTAACAAAAATGCAAACATAAAATATTATTTATCGGGATTCTAGTGGAGCCCTGGTGACGCAGTGGGCTGCTGCCAGCTGCTCCCAGGGAGAAAGGTGTGGCAGGCTGTGCCTCTAAAGAGTGACAGCCCTGGAAATGGCTATGTAGCAGCTCTACTTTGGCCAATAGGGCAGCTAGAGTCAGAAATGGAATCGACAGCTATGGTTTGAAAAAAATTATTATTACTATAATTTTTGGCTCCCTTTTAAATATTGCAACTGAGTGTTCTCAGCACCTGCCCTGGGATTCACTTTCCCCCAGGGAGCTCTCTCCCCTGGAAGGGGTACAGGATTGAGGGATAAAGTGAATCACTGCCACCTCATTGGAGGACCTGGGCGGCTCACAGAAACTGGATTTTGACTTAGGCTTTTGGGAACTCCCCTTCATTAGAAATGTAAAACTTTACTCCAACCGTGATCAGTGACTACAACCACCACCTATAGGAGGCTTAATTCTCCAACCACCCCCTTATCAACGTCATGTGAATTTAGTGCCCTAAACAGACCTTTACTGCTAATGGTTCGTTTGTTCAACGATCAAACCACATATCACTGAGGAGTGGCAATGGAAAGAAGGGAGAGAGGAGGAAATGAGATAGAAAGATTCTGTTTTTCCAGACTCATCCATCACAAGGGTAATTTACCCAGACCCTCAATCTTACTGGCCTATAAAACAGCAGAGTCTATTGTTTCTAACAAAATGCTATGTAACACAGTACATACACACTTAATAAAAGTAGTTAACTATCCATTGAACACTGAGCCCTTCTGATGAGCACGAGCTGGGTTAAGCACTTAACGAGCATTATAC